CAGGCCGACCCCGCCTGGGTCCCCGACGTCGTTGTTATGGAAACACCGCGGTCGCGCGCGCTCCTGGCGCGGGCTGCTCCCAGTCTGCGCGAGGCTTCTTAGCGTACCCGCGCAGGAGCCCCGCAGAGGACGCAGGAGCCCGTTTGGGGGTGCCTGTCGCGACCTCCCCATTCTGGCCGCACGCTCAGTGCTCGGCCAGCACCTGCGGCCTGGGCGCTGTCTCTCCACGGGGATCAGTTGCTGGTTGCTGCTGAATTTGATCTCGGTCTCCCCAGGACCTACGCGTGTGGGAGGCCGGCGTGAGAGCAAGTCTAGGACCGGCTGGGACGGCGCGCGCAGGGTGAGGGAGTCCTGACTGGAGCCTGTCTTAGAGCCTCGCGAAGGGTGCAGGCGAGCCCGCAGTCAGGGGCTCTCCCTCGGAAAGCAAGGCTCTGGTTAGACTTGCATCTTGCAGGATTGGCCAAAGCGATCGCTGTAGTGGGGTCTCGGAGCCCCTTCCCACTCTGTTTCACTCCAGCATCTAACTAAGCTGACCATGAGCCACGCTGGAGGGTCCAGGTCAGTCATTTGCCCCTTCCCACCCAAGCACACTCACACTCTTGAGAAAACCCGCTGAGATTTCTATTCAAACCACGCAAAAGTGACCTCAAAGGTCACCAGAACTGTGCTCTTAAAGAAAGACTAGTTTATTATAATCCAGGAGAGTTACCAAGGCTGGGAATGCAGATACTAGACAAATTGGTACTGTATATGGCAGGCTGGATCTCTTGTATAGATTTAAATTTTTATCTGGTGGCACTAGTTTTATAGTTGGGTGACACTGGTGATACATTCTGAGAAATGTATTAGTCACCGGGATGCTAAATCAGAATGACAAGGTAGGGTAACTATTAAAGGACTCAAGTAAGCCTGAGATCCTTTTGGCTCGTGGTCTCCACAGTCACCACCGGGCTCCATGAGGGAATGTTTTCAGTTCACACAAACCTGTAGGCTCCTCTCCTCTCTCTCTGGCTCCGACTCCTCTCTCTCCTCCCGCCTTACCCCCATCCCCACCCCGCGCCTTCCTCTGTCCCCTTGGGGACAGCAATCAACAATCCTTTCTTTACCCCCAAAGTTTTGAGGCTGTCTGGGTCTCTATCCATCTGGCCCAACTTTCTCCAGAGATTGTGGTGAGCAGAGCAGCCACGCCCCCATCCCTTGCACACCTGGACTTGAAGAGCAGGACCTCCCCCTACTTGGTGTTAAACAGCCCTGTCAGTGGCCTCCTCCAGGAGGAGGAGGAAGTTCTTCTGGGCTGACTGTGTGGCTGAGATCCCCTAAGGACAGCCACTCAGGACAAGTCAATATAAAGCGAGTTGGGACACTCTTAGATTTAGGTTAGATTTAAGACATTAAGTATTTTTTGTTTGTTTTTCGAGGCCATTAAGTGCTTTTGAATTTTTGATACTTAATGTATGAGTGTGGAGGTTATATTGTTAATCTGACTCTTAGGTCAAAATATTAAGTTTTTTTTAAGATTTATTTATTATGTAAACAACATTCTGCCTCCATGTATGCCTACTGGCTAGCAGAGGGCACCAGATCTCATTACACATGGTTGTGAGCCACCACGTGGTTGCTGGGAATTGAACACAGGGCCTCTCGAAGAACAGCCAGTGCTCTTAACCGCTGAGCCATCTCTCCAGCCCTAAAATGTTAAGTTTATTAAAAAGCATTTTGCCAGCTGGGCATATAGCTCAATGGTAGAGCACTTGCCTACCATGTGTGAGCCCTGGGTTCAATCCCCCATACCAGAGGGAAGAGGGAACAAAGACACTTTGGTTTACTAACCCTAGTGACACATGCTCCAAACTCCAGAGACTGAGGCAGGAGGGTCGGCTCCATATATAAAGCAAGTTCTAGAACAACCTGGGCTGTAGTGAGACTCCACTCATCTCTTGCCTCCCCCCCTCAAAAAAATTGGTATACTTTTTGTTTGGTTTTGTTTTTTAAGACAGGGTTTCCCTGTGTGTAGCTCTAGCTGTCCTGAAACTCACTCGGTAGACCAGGCTGGTCTTGAGCTCACATCCGCCTACATCTGCCTCCCAAGTGCCGTGATTAAAAGCGTGCACCACCATTGCCTACCTAGTATACTTACCTTTTTATTTAAAGAAATTTTCTTTTGTAGGTGAGGTTACAAATGGTTTGTGAGGTGCATGTAGGAAGTGCTGATAAGATAAAAATATAAGACATTGGTCCAAAGCTGGAGACATGGCTCAGTGTTTAAGAGCACTGGTTACTCTTCCAAAGGACCCAGGTTCAATTCCCAGCATCCAGATGGCTGCTCACAACTGAAACTCCAGTTCTATGGAACCCAAAACCCTCACTCAGACATATGGGCAGGGAAGACAATAAAAATGAATTCAAAATTTTAGCCAGGCTGTGCTGACAAAGGAGGAGGAGGAGGAAGAGGAGGAGGAGGAAGAGGGGAAGAAAGAAAGAAAGAAAGAAAGAAAGAAAAGTTAGCTGTTTGCCCTGTGTGATGTTTTGAATAGGATTATCCTCCATAAACTCATACATTTGAATGCTTGATCATCAGGGAGTGGCACTACTTGAGAGGGATTAGGAGGTGGGGCCTTATTGAAGGTGGTTTCAAAAGCCCAAGCCAGTCTCAGTGTCTTGGTCTTGCTTCGGCCTGCAAATCCAGATGTTGAACGCTCAGCTACTTCTCCAGCACCATGTTTGCCTGCATGCTGCCATGTTCCCTGCTATAATGACAATGGACTAACTATAAATGAAGGGACCAGCTCCCCATTTCAGCAGCCATGACAGTAACACGTGCTTGTCTGACCTTGCCTTGGTCACTAGAAGTCAGATGCCTGCCTCGTGGCAAGGAACCAATCAGAAGTTAGCTGGTGGCACTATGCTTTGCGACTCTGGGTGTGCTTTACGGATAAGTGCACAGCAATGACTCGCAGAGCATAGCAACCACCCTGGGAGGGCCTATGGGCCATAACAACCAATTGGCCAATCAACACAGAGCAAGCCCTCCAAGCCTGGAGGCACACCAATCCAAGCCTAGACACTCCCCTTATGCTGCCCTACAAGATCTCTCTGCAGCCAGTTCGAGCTGTCTTTTGCTAGCCATCTGCCATGGCCGGTGGGTGAAAGACCCAAGCTAACAGGCGGTTAACTCGTTAAACAACAAAAAAGCCTCATGCAGTTTGCAGCAAGCTTTCGAATCTGCCTGGTGATTTCGGTGACCGTGGTCCTGGGCTGGGACCCTGGAGGCCTGAGTTTTCTGGGGGTCTAACATAAGCAAGCCCCAATTAAATGCTTTTTCTTATAAGAGTTTTCATAGTCCTGGTGTCTCTTCACAGCAATAAAATGATGACTAAGACACCATAAAAGCGTGCCTACCTGAGTTTGAGCTCTAGAACCCATGATGGAAGGAGAGAACCTGTTCAGGAATATTTGATCATGCCATGAATGCTAAGTTTGCATTAATTAAATAAAATCTTGTGTCAAGAGGCAGAGCCAACAACTAGTTGACAGGAAGTAGCCATAGAGAGTTAGAGGGAGTCTGGAAATGGGATAGGAAGTAATAGGGAGGGACTTTGAGTTTGCCGATCTTTTTTGGTTTGGAAGGGTGGAATCAAGCTGTCTTGCTAGGTCACCTGCTCAGGAAGAAGATGAGCTGGTTGCTTCTCAGCCTCTTTGAGCCAGAAGGTTTTCATACCAGAATCTGACTCCCGAGTAAATTTATTGGTAAAAATAGGACAATAGAGACTTAGTTAAAAGGTACATTTGGGTCAGATGGTGGTGGTTCACACCTTTAATCCCAGCATTTGGGAGGCAGAGACAGGTAGATCTCTGTGAGTTCAAGTCCAGCCTGATCTACAGAGAAAGTTCAAGGACAGGATCCAAATCTAAAAAGATAAACCATCTCAAAAACAAAAACAAAACAAAAGAAACAAAAGAACAACCAAAAATAACCTGATTTAGTTAAAAAAAAACAAAACTACATTTGGCTAAAGCAGCAGAGAGGCTCCCAATGGGACACTGAAGTCCCTGCTGCTTCCGTTGCTCTGTGGGGCAGTGATTGCTGAGCCGCAGTCAGTAGCTGGAGGTGAAGCCACTATTCCGATGATAAAACAACAAAAACAACTCCAGAAAGTTGCCCTCTGACCTCTGCATGCACATACCACCACTCATGCACACACATCATCATTCCTCTACACCATAATAAAAATTTCTAAAAAATTTAAGGACAAAGGGGCTGGAGAGATGGCTCAGAGGTTAAGAGCACCGACTGCTCTTCCAGAGGTCCTGAGTTCAATTCCCAGCAACCACATGGTGGCTCACAACATCTCTAATGAGATCTGGTACCCTCTTCTGGTGTGCAGATATACATGGAAGCAGAATGTTGTATACATATCTTTTAAAAAATTTAAGGAAAAATACACCATTACTCCCTCGCTAGAGGTCCCAGAATCCTCACACCCATAGAGGCAAGAAAGTAGATGGTGGATGCCAAGGGTCACGTAGAGGGGAAGTAGCTATGTCTTGGAAGATGACAGTTCTGGAGACAGAGATGGTGAGGTTTGCACAATAATGTGTATGCACTCGATGCCACAGAATCAGACACCTGAAGAGGCAGGTATATATCATGTACATTTACCATATATTTTAGAAATCTGTGTTGTGGAGATTGAACCACCAGGACTGGTGGCAAGTAGACAAAGGCAGGGTGGTTGTGTTTCCGCTGTGATTGGGTGGCCAAGGGCCCTGGAGAGGAGACAGTCCAGAGTCTCCCAGACTCTACATCTAAAGGCTGAAGAGCATGGCACCAGTGTCCTGGGAAGTCCCCCTGGCGTGTGACAACACAGCAGAGAAGCCGAAAGGAACCTGATGTATACAGAACGAATAAGCACAAACTGTGGCCTCACGTAGAGCAACAGCTCCCATGAGGTCTCACCCAAGCCTCATACTACAGACCTAACCACCTTGCCCTAAATCCTAAAAGTTTACCACATCCAGGCTGGAGAGATGGCTCAGAGGTTAAGAGCACTGACTGCTCTTCCAGAGAACTTGAGTTCAACTCCCAGGAACCTCAAGGTGGCTCAAGACCATGTATAATGAGAACTGGTGCCCTCTTCTGGCGTGCAGGCATACATGCAGGCAGGATACTG